AGGGTGGTGGTTGCTGAAGGTTAGGATGGCTGTGGCTAGTTCTTAAAATAAGACAATGATGAAATTTACCACATCGACTGAATCTTCCTTTCACGAACAATTTCTCTGTAGCATATGATGCTGTTGGCTAACACTTTACCCACAGTAGAACTTCTTTCAAAATTCGAGTCAATCCTCTCAAACTCTGCCACTGTTTTGTCATTAAATTATTGTAATATTCTAAATCCTTTGTTGTCATGTCACCAATCTTCATAGCATCTTCGCCAGGAAGAGATTCCATCTCAAGAAACCAGTTTCTTTGATCATCCATAAGAGGTAACTCCTTAGCCACCATTAAAGCTTTATCTTGAGATGGCAGCAATTCAGGCATGTCTTCAGGCTCCACTTCTAATTCTTGTTCTCTTGTTATTTTCCACCACATCTGCAGTTACTTCCTCTGCTGAAGTCTTGAACCCCTCAAATTCATCCTTGAGGTCAAAATCAACCTCTTTCAAACTACTGTTAATGTTGATATTTTGACCTCTTTCAATGAATCATGACGGTTCTTAATGGCATCTAGAATGCTGAATCCTTTCTGGAAGGTTTTCAATTTACCTTGCCCAGATCCATCAAATGTATTACTATCCATGACAGCTATAGCCTTATGAAACGTATTTCTTAACTAATAAGACTGGAAAGGCAAAATTACTCCTTGATCCATGGGCTGCAGAACGGGTGTTGTATTAGCAGGAATAAAAACAATATGAATCTCCATCAGACCTCTTGGGTAACCAGGTGCATTGTTAATGAGCGATAATACTTTGAAGGAAATCTTTTATGAGCAGTAGGTCTCAACAGTAGGCTTAAAATATTCATTAAACCATGTTGTAAACAGATGTGTTGCTACCCAGGTTTTGTTGTTTCATTTATAAAGCAGAGGCAGAGTAGATTTAGCATAATTTTTAAGGGCCCTAGGATTTTCATAACGGTAAGTGAGCATAGGCTTCAACATAAAATCATCAGACGCGTTAGCCCCTTACAAGAGATCAGCCTATGCTTTGAAGCTTTGAAGCCAGTCATTGGGCTATGAGAGTCCTAGATGGCATCTTTTTGCAACATAAGGCTATTTCATCTACATTGAAAATCTGTTGTTTAGTGTAACCACCTTCATGAATTTTCTTAGCTAGATCTTCTGGATATCTTGCTGCAGCTTCTCCATCAGCACTTGCTTCTTCCCCTTGCACTTTTGTGTTATGGAGACAGCTTCTTTCCTTTAACCTCATCAATCAACCTCTGCTGGCTTCAGACTTTTCTTCTGCAGCTTCCTCACCTCTCTCAACTGTCATAGAACTTAAGACAGGTACAACCTTGTTCTTGATGAGGCTTTGGCTTAAGAGAATGTTGTGGTCCTTTTGATCGTCTATCCAGATCACTATAACATTCTCCATATCAGCAATAAGCCTGTTTCGCTTTCTTATCATTTCTGTGTTCACTGGAGTAGCACTTTTAACTTCCTTCAAGAGCTTTTCCTTTGCAGTCACAACTTGGCTGAGTGGTGCAAGAGGCCTAGCTTTTGGCCTATCTCAGTTTTCGACATGCCTTCCTCATTAAGCTTAATCACTTCTAGCTTTTCAAGTGAGAGATGTGCAACTCTTCCTTTCACTTGAACACTTAGAGGCCATTGTAGGGTTAGTAATTGGCCTAATTTCAATATTGTTGTGTCTTAGGGAATAGGGAAGCCCAAGGAGAGGGAGAGAGATGGGGGTACAGTTAGTAGATCAGTCAGAACTCACACATATATGGATCAATTTTGCTGTCTTTTATAGGCCTGGTTCATGGAGCCCCAAAATGATTGCCTTAGTAACATCAAAGATCTCTGATCACAGATCACCATAACAAATATAACAATAATGAAAAATTTTGAAATATTATGAGAATTACCAAAATGTGAAACACAGCTACAAAGTGAGCAAATGCTATTGTAAAAATTGCACTGATAGACTTGTTCAACGCAGGGTTACCACAAACTTTCAATTTTTAAAAAATGTAATATCTGCAAAGTGCAGTAAAGCAGAGCGTAACAAAACTAGGGAACGAGGTATGCTTGTATTTGTGTATTTCATTTTGTGTTCTCAAATAGGCAGTTGAAATAAATGACAAATGTCTTATGCCTTATTGCTTATTTCTTTTTCTGACCCCGTGGTTGATAGTTTAGTGAGGTCCAACTCAAATATGATGTGAGAGTTGGGAGAATATGTTTGCAAATCTCAGCTCTGTGACATAGACACAAAACATGAAGAATTCAGACTGACAGTGCCAGAACATAAAGTGAGGCTTTCTTTCACAAAACTATCCCGCAGAAAACAGGGGTCGCCTTATGTTTCAGTCCTTGTGCAACCTCTCATATTAAAAGATGCTCTTCTAGTGCTCTGCTGTGATCAATAACCACTACTTGGACAAGATCTCCACCTGAAATGAATCCAATGATTGCTAGTTTTGGGGCTAGCACTGGTGAAAGAAAATAAGAAACTGAACGTGGACTTGGTAAATATTACTTGGGACTAAAGCTCTACAGTTTATGCTTATGTTGCTCATTTGGAGAATAACAGAATAAATGAAAAAATGCTTTCCTTTTGTTTTATAAATGGATAATTGTCTCTTTAGATAAGATAGCCAATGACATCATTTTAATAGGATCCCAAAACAAACACTCAGCCCCCGAGATGACCTAGAAAGCTGCTCTGAGTTAGATGTTTCAGAGGCATATGAAGATTCTGAACAAAATTTGTAATGAAATACGAGGGCGAAAAAAGCAATATTTCTCAACTGACATTTGCTTTGATATAATTTTTAACTTAGTAGCTATAATCCAATTAAGACATTAAATATGACCTATATCACTATAAATTTACATATTCAAGTTGCAAAATCTTCTCCATTTTTTTTTACTTCCAGATATTTCTACTGGAAAATGAGAGATCACTTTATACTCCGGCTAACAATATTTGAGGTAATGCTTACTATATTCTAATCGTTTTTAGATGAAGGTAACAACTAGTCCTGTTGTTTTTTACTAGTTTTCAATTAGTCTTGAAAGTTTTTTCAAATCCTGACCATTTGTTCTAATGTGACCTGTAGACTAGATGGTAAGTAATACACTTATCTGTACTCCTGATTTCATAAAGAATTCCAATCGTGGTAATTTAAAGTCTAGAGAATTGAAATTTTTTATCACTGTTCATGTGGGTAATTTCTAAGTTTAATTTCATTTAATCTTCACAACATCCACTGGAAATGGTTGTTGTATAGATAGAATGAATGGAAGGTAACATATATAAAAGGTTAATAGTGATAAATGTCAACACCAGATTTTAATTTTTTCTTTATTTTTTGTATTCTCCAATTTTTTCATAATGGGTATTATTTTTATAATTTTAGTAGAGCAATAATGAGTGAATCAAAATTTATTGGCTAAAGAATAATCATACAGAAAGTGATGGACCCAGAATCAAAATCCATATTTTTCCCTGTACCACATTCTCCTAAAAAACATTTTAAAGGACGCACATGAATTATATCTGTGTCACTATTATTTGATTTGATTGCTAAAATTTATGTTGAAAATATATAATCACTTGGAAAAAATAAGAACCAGAAAGTTGCTTTTCAATTTATTAGTTCTATGTTTATATGAGCACAACCACTAAGGAAACCTAAATATATATTTTTTTAAATTTTTTCAATGCTTTATCAAAATGTGAAATTTTTCTAAAAACTTTCATTTCAGTGGATCTAACAGGCTAGGAACATCCTTGTGAGATATTCTTCCTTATTCAGGCAAAATTTCATCTTTAAGTCTAATGAGACTGAACAAATTTACAGGACTGAATTTAGAAATAAACAGACCCAGCTTATGACGTTCTTCAATATGGCTCCCTAGTTTAATACTCTGATACTTGATGTTACTCATCCTCTGACCCAATGACAGGTTTAACAATTTTTTCATTTTTCCAACTGGTTACTTTTGGAATCAAATAAATAAAATATCTAAACTTCATTACAAATCTTTCAATACAGAAATACCTAGTGGACCTAACGTCTTCACCCCTTAGGCACTCACAATTGGTACAACTCGTCAAGTCCTTGTTAATGTCCCCCTTGCCATGTCAGGCAGAGACCTGCCTCCAAGGACCTGGATGGAGGTCGAACACTTATCCATTAGGCTAGAAGCCTTTGGAATGCTGGGAATTGTTCTATCCGCGTCTTGTCCATCCTTTAATCTCTAGTATCCAGAACAGAACTGTCTTCAATGAATATTTGCTGACAAAATGAATGAGCAAGGGAAGATGTAAAACCATGCAGACAATTTTCGCGGACATGGGAGCTGAAATGGCTTATTGAGCTTACAAATTCCCTTAAAGCAGCCCATCTCTAGGCAACAGAACAAGAGTTTTTACGGCATAAATTCTGACTGATCTCAGCCTGGCTCTAAAAGGCTAGAGTAATAAGAAGTTAGATTTCTCGAGGTTCTACAGCCATTTACTTTAAGAATTAGCTTTGCACTGCTCTTAGGGATGAGATAAAAACCGATAACATAGGTTCTGCAAGTAATTTTGAAAAAAGAGCACTGTGTCTTATCTCCAAACATAGAGGAGAGGTAATTAATAAAAGCGTCTCTCACTTAAAAGATGGCCTACAAAAAATGTATCTTGAACCAATAACTTATACCAATGGTTTACAAATACGGCCCCCAAAATATCTTAATTTCTAGCCTGAGTTTACCATTTTGTGTATGTATTATTATGAAAGTAGAATTTAGGTCTGCTTACAGTTGGGAAGTGAACAAACCACTTAGGAAGCAGTTTTGTTTTCACGTACATTCACTAATAACTGCAAACTTGCTTCTCATACACGGAGGCCAAGTATGTGGCAGTCAGATAATGGTGATCTTAAATTGCTTTTTCTAAAAAGGATCAATCAGTTGTTCATTACTAGGGTAAAAATAGATAAAAGTTACTTACCTGAGGGAGTTACTATGAGTTTAGTTCCTCTTCCAAATGTCTTGATCCAGCCTGAGGTATCACACTGGTTACAGCTTCTACAAAAACTCAGCCTCCTCCTCAGCTTCATGATGTAACGAGCAGTGAAATAACTGTGTCCTGGCAATGTGATCTTCTAGGTTCTTTCAGAAGTCCTTGAATATAAGTTTTGTGGCTTCAGGTATTTTATAAGTTTTCCTCAGATAAATTGACCCAAATGTCTGTTTTCAAACAACGCACTAAGCATTGAAAATCATTGATGGAAAACGGAAAGAATCAGAGAAGAAAAAGAAGATATCAGGCCCATCTCGTCAGCCAACTACTTTTCTAAGTTACTACACAAAGCATTCAGAGAATTAAAACTTTTTCTTTTATTTCCAGGTGTTCAATTGTGTTGAGTCTTCTCAGAGTTTGCATCAAAGCAAAGGCCCTTTTGTTCTCACAAACATCAGGGCTGCTTCGTTAGCAATTTAGGGATGTATTTCAGAAAGGAAGAAATTCTTCAGTTCTTCTGAATAATTCTTCAGAAATAATGCCAATATAAATAGACTTGAGAAATGTGAACAAAGTTCTCCAATTTTAATAAAGCCACTTTTACCATTTGGCAATATGATTCTTTACCCAGCAACACCAAATGAGAAAATAATTTCTATGATGACGTTACTTTTCCTGGAAGAAAAGAAGAAATTTATAGAATTCTATGTCCTAAGAAATAATATACTATTTATTTAAACTAAAACTTTAATTCATAACAAGCATCTTTTCTGACCACAAGGGTATGAAACTAGAAATCTACAAGAAGAAAGCTGAAAAAGTCATAAACTTGCTACTGAATAACCGTAAGATCAATGAAGAAATCCAGGGAGAAACAAAAAAATACCTAAAGACAAGTGACAATGAAACACAACATATCAAAATCTATGGGATGCAGCAAATATGGTACAGAGAGGAAAGGTTACAGAAATACAGGTTTACCTCTAAGAAGAACAAAAACCTCAAATAAACACTTCAACATTACAACTAAAGGAACTAGAAAAAGAAGAACAAATGAAGCCCAAAATCAGTAGAAGGAAGGAAATCATAAAAATCAGAGTGGGAATAAATAAAATAGAGTCTAAAAAGAAAATAGAAAAGATCAATGAAACTAAGAGCTGCTTCTTTGGAAAGATAAAGTTGACAAACTTTACTAGATATACTAAGAAAAAGGAGAAGGCTCAAATAAATAAAATCAGAAATGGAAGAGGAGAACTTATAGCAGATATCACAGTAATACAAAGTAGTATGAGAGAATACTATGAAAAGCTATATGTAAACAAAGTGGATTACCAGGAAGAAATGGATAAGTTCCGAGAATCATACAACATTCCAAAACTGAATCAGGAACAAATAGAGAATCTGAACAGACCAATCACTTGCAAGGCGATCAAAAGAGCAGTAAAAAAACCTCCCCCCCAAAAAAGTCCAGGACCAGGCAACTTCTCTGGTGAATTCAACCAAACATTAAAAGAAGACTTAGTACCTATTCTTCTCAAAGTTTTCCAAAAGCTTGAAGAGAAGGGGATGCTTCCTAACTCATTTTACAAGATCAACATTACTCTAATACCAAAACCAAACAAGGATGACACAAAAAAGAATATTACAGGCCAATATCCTGACAAACATAGATGCAAAAATTCTCAACAAAATATTAACAAACTGAATACAACTATAGATTAAAAATATCATAGATCACAATCAAGTGGGATTAATTCCACAGATGCAAGGATGTTTCGACATCTACAATTCAATCAATGTGATTCACCACATTAACAAAATGAAGAATAAAAATCACACGATCATGTCAATAGATGCAGAGAAAGCATTTGACAAGATTCACATCCATTTATGATAAAAACTCTCAATAAAATGGTTACAGAAGGAAAATACCTAAACATAATAAAGGCCATATATGACAAACACACAGATACTCAATGGTAAAAACCTGAAAGCTAGCCCCCAAGAACAGGAGAAAGACAATGATGCCCACTTTTGCAACTCTTATTCAACATAGTATTGGAAATCCTAGAAAGAGCAATTAGGCAAGAAAAGGAAATAACATGTATCCAGACTGGAGAAGAAGGAATAAAACTGTCACTATTTGTGGATGGCATGATTTTATATATTGAAAACCCTGAAGAATCCACCAAAAAGCTACTAGAAATAATAAATGAAAACACTAAAGTAGTAGGGTAAAAAAAATCAACATACAAAACTTGAGTTGTGTTTCTAAGCACAACGAGCTAGCAGAGAGAAATCAGGAATAACATTCCATTTACAATCACAACAAAAAGAATAAAATACCTAGGAACAAATGTAACCAAGTAGATGAAAGAGCTGTACGCTGAATACTATAAGGCAGTGTTGAAAGAAATCAAAGAAGACACAAAGAAACAAAAAGATATTCTGTGCTTACATATTGGAAGAATTAACATACTTAAAATGTCTATATTACCTAAAGGAATCTACAGATTTCAATGCAATCTGAATCAGAAACCCCATGATGTTTTCATAGAAATGGAACAAAGAATCCTAAAATTTATATGGAACAACAAAAGACCCTGAATAACCAAAGGTATCCTGAGAAAAAAGAACAAAATTGGAGGAGCCATGCTCACTCAATTCAAAATAAACTACAGAGTTATAGTAATCAAAACAGGATGGTGCTCACAGATGAACAGACTTAGAGACCAGTGGAGCAGAATTGAAAGCCCAGAAACTAAAGCAAGCATCTATGGACAGCTCGTCTTAGACAAAGGAGCCAAGAACATACAATGGAGAAAGCAATGTCTCTTCAGTAATTGGTGGTGGGAAAACTGGACAGCCACATGCAAAGGAATGAAAGTAGGCTGTTATCTTACACCATACACAAAAATTAACTCAAAATGGATTAAAAACTCGAATGTAAGACCTGAAGCCATAAAACTCCTGGAAGAAAACATAGGCAGTACACTCTTTGACATCAGTCTTAGCAACATCTTTAAGAATACCATGTCTCCTCAGGCAAGGGAAACAAAAGAAAAAATAAATAAATGGAGGTACATCAAACTATAACGCTGCTTCATGGCAAAAACAACCATCAACAAAATGAAAAGGCAACACATCAATTGGGAGAAAATATTTGCAAATCAGATATTAGATAAGGCATTAATTTCTAAAATATATAAAGAACTCACACGATTCAACAATGAAAAAACAAACAACCCAATCAAAAAATGGACAGATGATCTGAACAGACATTTTTCCAAAGAAGGCATACAGATGGATAACAGACACATGAAAATGTGTTCAACATCACTAATTATTAGGGAAACGCAAATCAAAACTACAATGAGATATCACCACATCCATACTTGTCAGGATGGCTATTACTAAAAAGACAAGAAATATAACAAGCGTTGGAGAGGATGTGGACAAAAAGGAACCCTCATACACTGTGGGAAGGATTGAAAACTGGGGCAGCCACTATGGAATACAGTATGGAGATTTCTCAAAAATTTAAAAATAGAACTACCATATGAAACAGCTCTTCCACTTATGGTATTTATGCAAAGAACATGAAAACACTTATTTGAAAAGATATACATGCCTGTATCTTCATTGCAGCATTATTCACAATAGCCAAGACTTGAAGCAACCCAAGTGCCCATTATGGATGAATGGATATGGAAGGTGTGGTATATATGCACAATGGAATACTACACACCCATAAAAATGTTGAAATCGTGCCATTTGTGAGAACTTGGATGGACCTTGAGGATATAATGCTAAGCTAAATAAGTCAGAGAAAGACAAATACTCATGATTTCATTCACATGTGGAAGATAAACAAACAAACACATAAATAAGAGTACAGATTTGTGGTTACCAGAGGGGAAGGGGTGGGGAGAGGGAAAAAGGGGTAAAGGTTCACATACATATGGTGACAAATAGAAACTAGATTTTTGTTGGGGAATACAATGCAGTCTATACAGAAGCTGAAATATAGTGATGTACACCTGCAATTTACACAATGCTATAAACCAGTGAGACCTCAATAATATAGCAAAAATAATAATAAAAAAATTCTCAGTAAATGGCAAAAAAAAAAAAAAGAACTGAGTATTTTTACCACTATCTGTAAAACCTCCTCTCTGTACAACTTAGGGAAAAAGAGATTTTGAAGCACAGTAAGCTATCATTACATTAATATTGTCTCTAACTTGGTGGACAATATCAGTAGGAATCAGGAAAGAAAACAGATTTTTTTGTGTAAAAAAGGCAAAAGTTGGGGCCAGCCCATTCACATAGTGGTTAGGTTTGCATGCTTCGCTTCGGTGGCCCAGGGTTTGCAGGTTCAGATTCCGGGCGCAGACCTACATACTGCTCATCAAGCCATGCTGCGGCAGCATCCCTCATTAAAATAGAGGAAGGTTGGCACAGATGTTAGCCCAGGGACAATTTTCCTCAAGCAAAAAGAGGCAGAATGATAACAGATGTTAGCTCAGGGCCAATCTTCCTCACCAAAATAATAATAACAATAATAATTAATTAATTAAAAAATTTCAAAAAGGCAAAAATTGTTAGAGAAAAGGAAAGAAAAAGTGTTCATGACAGAGCCCATTGTAGGCTTTCCTAATTGCCAAATTTCGTGTGATCTCTAAGTGATCAATAATATGCAGAGATAGTTTTAATATTTTGAAACATGAATTCTTCTTCAAAATAAATTTTAAAATAAAATTCGAAAGTCATAAGTATTTTCTACTAGGCAATTTGAGGACTACAGAAATGACATAGAAAAAATATCCATGAGCCTAACATCCAGAGATGACTGATCCAAAGACGTACCCTTTTCTCTGAACCCATTCTCAGGGCTCAATAAGAAGAGCTGCTAAGAAAAAACAGCCTACGTGGATTTCGGGGGGGCCTCACAAGTTCTGAATTGTGATTTTTACAAGATGACTCCTAGGTTACAGACATCACTCTCCAACAGTACTGTATGTATGAGGAATGGGGTGAAAACAGAGA